CAGTTTGCTTTAATCCAAAGAAAGATTCAGGTTTCTAGGCCTCATGGTGACAGAAACATCCTACGTGAGATGCTCATCACGTGAACAGGTGGTTATGGTGGTGCTGAAGAATTGTTCAATTCTTGAATGGTTTCACGAACATTTAAATGATCACGGGATAGGAAGATCTGCTAGATACAGAAGGGGAGAAGGGTGTCCACGGGTTATGGTCAAAAAAGTCAAAATGGCAGCCACAACAGCATGATTGAAGCTCCACCTGTTTGTTTTTGGTGGCCATGCATAGAAAAACAGGTGGAGCTTCATTGGCACCGTGGTGGCCACCTTTTTGACCATACATTTTTTACCTCCTTCGAAGAGGACCTGTTTTTGTTCTGTTATAGCCCTCTTTTTATCCAGGAGTCAAGCAGGATCACACGCAGATCTCCCTTCCTTTTATCACCACAACAACCCTGTGAGGTAGGTTGGCCAGGAGGGCGCAACTAGTTCCAAGCCCCCCCGTGGACATGTATTTATTTCCAATGCTTCTGCGCTGTGCATTCCTGGGGGCTCGTAGGTGGCCGTTTAACCCCAAATATATACAACCCCCCAATCCCTAGAGATACGCCATGCACACTGCTAACCCCACCGGCATTTTGTAAAACATCCACCTTACACATTTCCTGAAGCCCCGGACGGACGCGGATGGAAGCGCCACTGGGAGGGAGTTCCCGAGACTGGGGCAGGGATGGAAAAAGCCTGCCTCCGAAGCCCCATCCGATGACAGTCCTGTAGGGAGATCAGCGACCTTATGAGATCAGGACGGGTAGAAAGGCTCTCAGACAACCAGGACTGAAGCCCTGTGGGGCCTTCGAGGTGACAACCAGCACCCTGAATTGCACCCAAAAGCCCGCTGGCAGCCAATGGAGCTCTCAATGCAGAGGGATCACTTCAGCATTTCAGGGCACAGCCACCCCTGCCCGGGCAGCCGCGTCCTCGGCCACCTGAAGCTTCCAGAGGTCCTTCAGAGGCAGGTCCATGTAGAGCACGTGGCAGTAGTCCAAGCGGGAGGTGACTAGGACGTGCATGACCGTGAGCTGATCTTGACCTGATCCAAGAACAGTCACCATTGGCGCATCAGACGCAACTCTCCAAATATGTACCAGATGGTAAGATACAGAAACCCAAGCAGTTTTCCATTTTAAGGTACCAACTACCAACTTGGCAGATGAAGGGGCAGCGGTCCAAGTCATAAAACAGTGGAATGTATTTCCATGGTAGACATTTAGGGTGATAACACCCAAGACTCTGGGGTCATCTTGAAATAGTCTGGGTTGCTTTGCTCTGCAGTTACACACACATGCACACACACGCACACACAGATGCACATACAATAATAAGAATTACAACATACTAAATCAGAACGGAAAAATTAAAAAGGAAGAAAGGAAGAACAGAAAAAGGTAAACGTGCAACAGAAAAAGAAAATAGAAAAAACAGAAAGATATAAAGGTATAAAGAGGTGGCTTCTGATATTATTTGCAGCAGTTATAAGTACATTATATTTTAACCTCTCTCTGTAAAGTTACATCATGTCTCTCTTCTTCCTATAATCTACCCTGTCTAATCACGAAAACCATAAATCACAAGTTCATTTTTTCATTTTTATTCAAAACGTCCATAAGGGATTGCCAGTCACCAATATATGTAGAAATTATCTTTTCTCTTATCTATCTCAGCAAGATCTGTCAATTTCACCAACCATTCCTCCATAGTGGGAAGTGCTGAATTTTTCCATCTTTGCGCATTTAGTAATCTTGCTGCAGTAATCATATCGTGAAATAATCTTCCATGACTCTTTTCTAACTGTGTATCCATCAATCCTAAAAGGAAGTGTTCTGGCTTCAGCTGAATATTAATCTTTAAAATCCCCTGTATTAATGTATGTATTTGAATCACTTTGCTCTGTAGTTTTCACGATATACACTACACATAGTCCTCATTTAGCAATTGCCTCGTTTAGTGACCGTTCGCAGTTATGACTGTGATGAAACAGTAACTTTGCGACCAATCCTTGCACTGACAACCTTCACCAGTCTGTAAAGCAAAGAACCTCTGAAGTCAGACTGTAAGCCCAGTTGTGGTTTCACTGAGGGACTGCTTCGCTTAACAATCAAGTTGCCGGGCCCAATCGTGGTCGCTAAACGAAGACTCCCTATGCTATAAAGGCTTTCTTGCTGTTATACTCAAAGAAATACATTTGTGGGATTCTTGAGGGATGCAAGGAAAATAGGAGAAAGTTGAATGTTTGGTGCAAAGTTGGTGACACCAGTTGAGGACCAGACTCAGAAGTGTCCACAGGGCATGGTCAAAAAAGTCACAATGGTGGCCCCAATAGTGTGATTGAAGCTCCACCTGCTTTTTATGCATCTCACACATCTGATGCACATAAAAAATGGTTGAAACTTTGATCATACCGCCATGGCCACCATCTTGACTTTTTTGACCACACCCTGCAGATACCTGGGATTAGACTGGACACCGTAGCTCAGTGTGGGCTATCCCAGCAGTGTTCTCCTGATCAGCCACAAAGATTAGATTTAAAGGCACCAGGAAGAAACCAACTACGGATAACCCAAGGCTCCCCTCCCCAAAAATCAGAAACCAGCTCCAGTTTGTACCTGTCGGTTTTCTAGTCCCCCCCCCGGCACTCTCTGCTTGCCTTGCAGCATTTAGGTCAGGCTTGTCTGCAAGTGATGCTGTCTTTTCAAATAAAAGAAAAATAAATCTGGAGAAGTTGATTACTCCACGCAGGGCTTGCGCCCAGAGGAAAACGAGATGTCCCTTCAAACAGCGAAGGCGGCAAATCAGGAAGGTCATAAAGGAGAAAGAGGCTGGGCTGACTTGGCTCATCTCGCCAGTTTGCCTGCAACTTTTCAGAAGTCCTCCAATCCGGCGAGAGCCTCTTTATGGCCCCTGAAGATTGAAGCTCTCCAGCATCGATTTTTTAACTTTCCTCCGTGAGAAAGGATACCAGAGGGGAATGGGAAGGGGGCTTGATTCTGCAACCAGGGAGTAGAGCTTTTCTCGGCGCCTCCTTTGCCAGGTAGGTTCTGTGGCGGTTCCGCAGAGTCTTGTCTCGACGGAATGGGAGAAAATCTAACGCCAGCAAAAGAGGGTGGATGTCACCCGGGTAGGAACCGTTGCAGGGCGAGCCTGCTTTTCAAGCCAGGGGGTAAAGTGGGCCAATCTCCCCTGGTCTGGGGCTCTGCGGAGGGCCATCCTACACATCTGGAGGGTGCCAGCTGCGGGGAGAGGGAGGTGTTGAATATTGTCCGGGATGGCAGAGAGATTCTGGGGGGTTAGACTGAAGCCCTTTCCACCCCAGCTTGGAGATGCTGGAAGCAGAAACTGGGATCTTTGTCCTGCCAGGCCAAGGGCCAACCCATAGGTGACATCGGGCACCACTAGGGAAGTGGTCCTTTTTAAAAAACGAATCTGCTTTTGGCCCAGGCTGTAGCCTGCCAGCCCTGCGGTCTTCCTCACTATTCCATTCATTGCCCGCTCTCTGGTTTTCCATTCGGCTCCAAGCATCGGTCTCTGTTCACTGTTGCTAAACTCGCTCCTTGTTAGATCACCTGGTACTTCTGCACACGTCTGGAGGTCTCCCAGATCTGTCGTTACTTTCCTCTGGATTATAAATGAGGCCACTTGGGCTACAGGAGAATCCGCCTTGGAGAAAGAGCTCGGCTGTATTAAACAGGCTGTCTCAAAGCAATATGTCTTCGCTTATCGGTTTGATGTTGATCTTTGACTATCTTTAACAAAGAAATAAATTGAAATTCCAGTCATGGGAGAACAGTAGTGTCTTCCTTCTGGGAATCATCTCAGCAAAACATGTTATTTCAGGGCTGTTGAGATGCCCACACATCTTTTCGGAAAGAAATCAGTGGGTTTATTTAGTTTCAAACATCGATTTGTCTGATTCGCTACGAGGACTTCTTTCATGTATTAATTGAGTTCTGGAAGACTCGCTGGTTTTGATCGATGCTCAGGTACTTTCTGCACATCGTTTTTTGTTTAAGATCTGGTCATACGAGGCAGAGAGATGCACTTTTGAGGGCGTTTTCGACCTATATATTGATCAACAGGAAGCACGCAGACCATGAAGGCATGGCACACTCAAGTGAACAGAGCCAAGGCAGTAAAAATCTTGATGGGTTCATTAAACACATGAGTGCAAACCCTTGGACAAAAGGCTGTCGGTGGCAGGGGAAAAACCCACCATCAGCCATATCCTGGAGAGTCATGTGCATTGTTGCCTAAGCATGGAAGTGGCAGCATGGAAGTGGGGCTTTGGGGATGCTTCCCCTGTGTTAAAGAGACGCGTTTGTTAACTTCTGAAAAATTAAAAGTGATTTTCATAAAACAGGTGCAGGTAGGAGGATGGAAAGAAAGTCAGCGCACCTATACAACTCCTAAGGTCCAAAGTTTTTTATAGTTATGTATGTGCTCTCACGCATTAAAGTCCCTGTTTTTAACCACCGAATTGGTTACACTGTGGATGACTGGCTGGTGGGCCGATAGAAAAAAAATGATTGATTGTGGGGAGGCTCAGTGGTTAATCTCATAAGCATCCACTGAGGGTGACCGTTAGATCTCTCTAAAGCAGTGTTTCTCAACCTTGGCCACTAGAAGATGGGTGGACTTCAACTCCCAGAATTCCCCAGTCCACACATCTTCAAGTGGCCAAGTTTGAAAACCCTGGACTAGACAGTTAAGGGGAGTAAGGTGGTGGACAACTTTGGATCAGGAATGTTCTCAGGGGAGGTGAAAAACATCAAGATGGTTGCCTTGACTGTGTGGTTGTGATGGTCATCTTGATTTGTTTTATTCATCCTGTGGATGCCCCTGAATTGGCTCCCCCAGGACAGAGGGGCCCTTGACTCCCATCTGTTTTTGTCTTCTATCTCCAGAACATAGTTCACAAGCTTTCCTTCTGCCTTTCAGACCACATCTAGAGGATGAGCGGGCTAAAGTGTGATGTTGCTGGATATGCTCCGTCCAAGATCCTCAGTAGCTTATTCTTTGCTGTTGCCACCTTGTTCCTTTTCTCAGGTATAAGTTTTCCCAACAAATCAGAGTGTGCTGTCTCTTCACAGGACAGGAACATATTGCTTATTTTCTGGTGAATTAAGATGTATGCTCATTTCAAAGTATTCTCTGCGTAACTGAGTTCTTCATGGGCTGGGGGTTCCCCTACAAAAGCCATGTTATTGTCAAAAAATGGGGTTGCTCTCATATGCTAATTCTGCAGAAATGCGAATAGGCACAAAAACAAACATTGGTGTCATTCAGAGGGATCTTCTGCCTTCCATGAAAAGTGGGAACCCCCCATTTCCCACCAATTTCCCCTTCCAGCAGGTGTCCTACCCTGTTTCTGAGGATCCACCCTTTAATCCTTGGAATCAATTTCCACGAACAGATTTCCCTTCATGACTATTTACTCAGCTTGTAGCTTAATTTCCATGGACTTGATTTTTACATCTGAATGCTCCCCATGTTTTAAAAAAATCCCCCATGTATGAGACACAGCTGTTCCAGTCTAGCTTCCTTTTGATGCACCAGCACATATAAGGTGATTTCAACTCACAGATCACAAGTGCACAGTTTCCCTATATGCAGTTTGAACTGATGTAATCCACAAGGACTGTATCCTTGTATGTGGTCAGAAAACTCAAGATGGTTCATCCCATCTCCAGTCTTGAGAGTTGTGATCACGGTGGGGCAGAAGGAACATTCAGGAAGTTGCATCCATCTGACACCCACTACCTACATTCACAACAGTTGCGTAACCTGGTGACCCAATTTACTCTTGTTTGCGATTTGCGGAATCCATTAAACTGAAAGCCAACTGTATGGTCTGCATTCATACAATAGGGCTGAACCTCTCTCCCCAAACCCATTCAAGATTAATGTTAGCTTTGCTTGGTATGTGACACCACACAGTCATTCGGTCTCCCTCAAATGCCACCAGTCTCTTTCATGTTTGGGGGTGATTATATCAGACCTCCCCTGATTTTCAAGCAGAACCTATAGGGGAGTCTTTTTGTAATGGAGTATTATCCACTTGACACTCTTGTCTACTCAACTGTTCAAGCTTTATTAATGTTGTGTGTGTGTGTATGTTGGGTGTGTACAGTATAGGTGATTTTTCTTCCTATGTTTTACAATTGTTGAAAATGCACTCTTTAGTGGATCATAACCTCAGCTACATGGCCAAATGGACTGATGTGTCTTTCTTGGATCTTCCTGTTCTTCTGTCATAAACAGAATCTGTGTCTCTGAAAGGGAAGCAGCTGGTTTTACTGGGACAGACAAACAAATATGTTTCCTTGGCCAATAAGCATGTCCCTGAACTTTGTGCATTTACTGTGTGCATTGATCTCAACAAGACTGAAGACAGTGTGGAGAATGGGACAGCCTTTTCCTATGATATCAGCAGCCCCTCCACTGTCTACGAGGTGGAGTTGGCTCTGTTTGCCCGTAATTCCCGCCTGCAAATGTTCCTTCTGGGCAGGCACATCGACCTGAGAGAGCATATTACGGCATATAAGATGCACCAGATCTGCTGTGTCTGGGACGGTCGGAAGCGTCTCCTGGAGCTCTTCTGGGATGGAAGGAAGCTGGTGAACAAAACCCTTTCAGATATCCCTCACAGCTGTCTACGGCCAAATGGGATGTTGGTGATGGGGCATTTGCACAAGAACTACGATGGAAAACCAATCCTAGAGTCATCCTTCGTTGGCATCTTGCACTACTTCCAGATGTGGAATTATGTGAGAGGGGAGCAAGAGATCAAGCGTTGTGATGATGGGAATGAAGTAAGCTGGCGGGGCAATTATTGGTCTCTGAATGGTGTAAGAATAGAGGATGCCCATCACCAACGTTGTGGTGAGTATCCATAAACTCTTCAAATAAGTCTCCTCCATCTTTGTCTTATGTCATTCCGAATATACAGTATATGATTTTTGAAAAAGATGGGCCTACATCTAAACCCAAAAACAGATACATCAGGTTATGATTTTATATATAAAATACCAAAAATATACATTCATAACCTGGTGTATCTATTTTTGGGTTTAGATGTAGACCCATTTTTTTCAAAAATCATTATTTTATGGGCAATAAACCATAGTGTAAAACTATAATTTTTACAGATCCTACCTTGTTTGGATCAGAGTTTGTCCTACTTGACCCCTGGATTATTCATGGTTCACTTTTCTCTTATTTTGGTAGAAGAAACAAACAAAACAAAGCAGATTACTGTTTTGACACTGTTTACCTGCAAGTCCAAGACTGTGTTCACTCACTGCATAAAGCCATGGTTTGTTTAACCATGGCTTCCTGAATAAATTACAGTCGGCTCAGTTCAGGAATCTTATGGCTTAGCATGATGTGGAGACCAAGTCTGGACTCTCGCATAAACCATGGTTAAAACAAATCCTGTCTTAGCATTTAGGTGTGAATGCAGACATAGAATACCGAAGGCTGTTGGTTTTTCAGGGCATTCCCGCACCCAGTCTTGCTTCACTCCCTTGTTGTTGTTGTTGTTG